ATTAGTGTGTTTCAGGTATGTGAATACATCGCACCCTAAATAACAATAACTGGCGATCATTCGTTGGTTTAAATAAATTCAGATTCCATGGTGTAACAGCGGATATCACGCTTGCTTACAGATGTGCTTAGGAATAGCATGAACGTTTGCAGCTCTCACGAGGTCTATTGCAAACATCAGGTCTTCAAACTAAACGACGTTATACAACTCCATTCAGAAGCTTTTGCATAGGAAGCCGCACGGAATCTTTTTAATCCATTGATGCAAAATTTATATTAGTTAACCGTATTTCAGTCCAAGAGGACTTGATGACACAGTACACGATAAATCGCAAAATCTATGGCTCGCCTCGATCTTTTAAGAAAAAAAAAAAAAGGACACGTTCCCGCAGCCTTTCGGATCTTAGCCAATATGTAATTAACCTGGTCTCGGTCTTACCTTCATAGTGTCTGCAGGAATAGTGTGAGGTGAGAGGCGCCATGTAGCTTTATATAACACTAATACCTCGGCACTTTCACTAAAAGTTACTTTCTCGTGTTTTTTTCCTTTTCCGTGAGCCTTTGTCTCCTCTGTCGACGATTGTTTTCCAGGAGTTCGGAAGAAAAGCCGCTCCTGCGCTCCGGTGATTCAGCGTCACGCAGAAATACTCATTATAATGAACGAACAAGTTTCTTCACCAGAGTCTCCGGCTTCAGCAAGAGGGGAAGAGGTAATTAAGAGAAGGGAAAAAAGACAGTAATGGTATGAGGTATTCTGGTACTACATTACTACCATTACCATTACTGTTATTCTCATTATAACGATTATTATTATTGGCAAAGCCAGTTTAGGCGTATGCTTCGTATGTACAGCGAAATATCTCCAGGGAAGGGGATCCAGGGGTTTGCCCTAGTAGGGAAAAACCCCAAGGAAAGAGCGTCCGGTAGGGAAATTACCCAGGGAAGGGGGCCCGGGGACATGCCACCGATAGGGAAAACCCCAGGGAAGGGGGCCCGGGACTTGCCCCGATAGGGAAATACCCCAGGGAAGGGGGCCCGGGGACTTGCCCCATAGGGAAATACCCAGGGAAGGGGCCCGGGACTTGCCCCGATAGGGAAATACCCCAGGGAAGGGGGCCGGGGACTTGCCCCCGATAGGGAAATACCCCAGGGAAGGGGGCCCGGGGACTTGCCCCCAATAGGGAAATACCCCAGGGAAGGGGGCCCGGGACTTGCCCCGATAGGGAAATACCCCAGGGAAGGGGGCCCGGGGACTTGCCCCGATAGGGAAATACCCAGGGAAGGGGGCCCGGGACTTGCCCCGATAGGGAAATACCCAGGGAAGGGGGCCCGGGGACTTGCCCCGATAGGAAATACCCCAGGGAAGGGGCCCGGGGACTTGCCCCCGATAGGGAAATACCCCAGGGAAGGGGGCCCGGGGACTTGCCATCGATAGGGAAATAACCCAGGGAAGGGGGCCCGGGGACTTGCCCCCGATAGGGAAATACCCCAGGGAAGGGGGCCCGGGGACTTGCCCCCGATAGGGAAATACCCCAGAAGGGGGCCCGGGGACTTGCCCCGATAGGGAAATACCCCAGGGAAGGGGGCCCGGGGACTTGCCCGATAGGGAAATACCAGGGAAGGGGGCCCGGGACTTGCCCCCGATAGGGAAATACCCCAGGGAAGGGGGCCCGGGGACTTGCCCCGATAGGAAATACCCCAGGGAAGGGGGCCCGGGACTTGCCCCGATAGGGAAATACCAGGGAAGGGGGCCCAGGGACTTGCCCCCGATAGGGAAATACCCAGGGAAGGGGCCCGGGGACTTGCCCCGATAGGGAAATACCCCAGGAAGGGGGCCCGGGGACTTGCCCCAATAGGGAAATACCCCAGGGAAGGGGCCCGGGGACTTGCCCCGATAGGGAAATACCCCAGGGAAGGGGCCCGGGGACTTGCCCCCGATAGGGAAATACCCCAGGGAAGGGGCCCGGGGACTTGCCCCGATAGGGAAATACCCCAGGGAAGGGGGCCCGGGGACTTGCCCCCGATAGGGAAATACCCCAGGGAAGGGGGCCCGGGGACTTGCCCCGATAGGGAAATACCCAGGGAAGGGGCCCGGGGACTTGCCCCGAAGGGAAATACCCCAGGGAAGGGGCCCGGGGACTTGCCCCAATAGGAAAATACCCCAGGGAAGGGGCCCGGGACTTGCCCCCGATAGGGAAATACTCCAGGAAGGGGCCCGGGACTTGCCCCCGATAGGGAAATATTCCAGGGAAGGGGCCCGGGACTTGCCCCCGATAGGAAATACCCCAGGGAAGGGGGCCCGGGGACTTGCCCCGATAGGGAAATACCAGGGAAGGGGCCCGGGACTTCCCCCGATAGGGAAACCCCAGGGAAGGGGCCGGGGACTTGTCCCCGATAGGTAAATACCCCAGGGAAGGGGGCCCGGGACTTGCCCCGATAGGAAATACCCAGGGAAGGGGGCCCGGGG